AAAGCAAAGTAGCTTACAAAACAAGTTGGAGGAACACCCCGTTCCACAAGCTTGAAGAAAAACATTAACAGGCTAATGAAAATGATTGTAGGGCCCAAGATCAAATCAATTGCTCAAACGGTAATCACAATTTATTTTAACTATGTTAAATTTTTACATTAAAGAGTTTATGTTGGAAAATAATTTTTAATATTAAAAGTAAGCGGGGTTTGTTATTTATTTGACTTTAAATATGTCAATTAATCATGTTTTACATCAAATAATTCAATATTACAGGATTAAGTTTAGTTAATCAAGTAATTTAACATATAGATAAATTTAACATAAAACTTCTTTTTTTAGCAAGCCATTGATATTGTCTTATGTTTTTAATTTTATTGGCCCGCACGGTGTCTATGATGGTCATCTCTGCCCTAACTTTCTTCGTTCAAACACATCAATAATATTCTAATCAATGCATTTTCTTCTTTCGTAGTTATATAAATATATTTATAAAAAAGAAAATGAATTTCGTAGGTCCCTGGATAAATGTTGACTAATGTAAAAGTGAAGAATGAAGGGTTTTTATAAATTAAAATTTTTAAAAATCAAGAACATTATAAATATAAATAAATATCCCTTTTAAATAGGAAAAAAAACTATAAAATCATAATATGAATACAAAATAAAATTAACTAAGTAAAATATCTATTTTCCTTAAAAAAATTCCTACATCAAATGTTTCTTTCTTCCTTTTTTTTTCTTTTTTTCTTTTTATATATAATTAGGTTGCGAGCTATAGTTATTAAATCCAACTCCATCTAGTGGTTTGAATCTTAAAATGATTTGGATTAATTTGATTCTTAAATTAATTTGAACTAATTTTGACATTTATCTTACCAAACTCGGGTAAGCTTCAAATTGATATGTAACTCAATACATGTATTTATATTCAACATCCAAATTAATATCTTGTATCCCCCCCCCCTCTCTCTCTCTGTACATGTTTAGGATGTATTTATTGCTCCAGAATAAGTAATACTGACTTGATACCAGCTTCACATATAATATAGTTTTTAAATAAAAAAAATTATTTTCAGTATACTACTTAATAAGAGAATGAGAATGCTAAAAATTAAGATTTATTTGCAACTCTAAATATTTCCTTTTTTATACGCTATTTATTTTAGTACTTGCTATTTGTTTATTGAAATGATATTCAATTTCATCAAAAAAAAAATCCGCTAAACAAAATCCTAGCCACGCTTAGGGTATGCTCGACACGTGGGTAAAGGAGTTTTCATCTCTTTTACTTATGTTCATAACAATTTGGAAAAAATCTAAAGAAGTTTAAGATTTATTATAATCTCAAAAGTGGAGTTAAATGATAACTTGATGGAGGGAGGGAGCGGTAAAAAAATGATTTATCTATATAATGATAATTAAGATTTTAGAAGTAGAAAATAATGTCAATTATAATACCACATTAATTGTAAAGGTTTCTCATATATATATATATATGATTTTCGTGTTAGAAAAATAGTATAAGAAAATAATTTTGGTAGAAGTAACTCTAGATCAAATTTTAGACCTAGAGTGGATTATAGTGATAAAAAATGTTGTATTATCATGAAAAAAACTATTTATATTCAGTATCATTGGTAGAAAAAGAAAGCCACCGTAGAAGAACTGAAGCTACGGAGCAAGAAGTCAAGAGACGCTATGATAATGTTTGTGAGGATAAAACAAATGATTTTATTTTTTCTTGTTTTTTCAAGTTGATAATCAGCACAGATATTAATGTTTGATTTAGTTAAAAATAGAGTTTTATTTTGGTGGGACCCACTATAAATAACGTTTATGCCTTATGTTTAACAAAAGCACAATTTTTGTGGTTTTCAAAGTTGAGTAAGTTGAGTATCTACTGTTTATGTAAATAGTGAAAAATTGAAAAATAAATTTATTTTTCATTATTCTAGGTTGGATATTCGAGTTTAAATCTAAATGCATTATATTAGGTTCAACCAATTAAAATAAAAAAATACAATAAAATTTCTTAGTTATTATATTTTATTTAAAAAATTAGTGTTTAACATTATTCAAAGATACTACATAATTATATTAAAAGAAAATCCTATGATAACATAGTATTTATAGAATTTGATTGTAATCTTAATTTTATTCCTAATGATATTTTACCTAATATTATTGCATGCTCAAGAAGTTATAAAAACTATAGTCCATGTCAGATGGTTTTCGTCCTTGATAAAATTACAAATAGTTTAATAAAATAATAAAAAAATACTTTATATAAAGTATTGTTTATTCCATAATGTAATAGCAGTAGTTAAATCAACAATATTTTAATTAAAAATTATTAATATTAATATAAATATTTTTTAATTATTTTATAACCTCAATTTGAAAAGTATTCTTAACCAAACACATTAAACTACTTTTTGTTCAATCCCAATTTCAACCACAGTTTTAACCAAATATATATTTTTTCATACCAATCTCAACTATTTTTTTTTTATAAAAACAATGTTTTTCAAACCACAACTATAAAAGTTACCACAATACTAAACACACGTGCGTTTGTTTTCACCGGTTTTTGTGTTTGCAGTGAAACAAACATAGCAAAATATTTAATATCAAATCAAATTGTGTTTTGTAATGTGGAGCGCACTAAAAAATTAAATTTTAAATGTAGTTTTTGTAAAGGAGTTTTTACAGGATTTTTTAATCGAGTTTCGTAAAATCTTGTTTATTTCTGTGATTCACAAACGCTTTTGAAAAAAATGAATTTTTTTTTTGTTTTAAATTGATATATTTTTGGTGTTTTTAAATTATTTTAATGTATTAATATCAAAAATAATTTTTAAAAAATAATAAAAAAATCAAATGTTCGAACAAATGACTTCCCAAGTCCACGCAGAAAAAAGCAAAGTAGCTTGCACAACAAGTTGGAGGAACACCCCGTTCCACAAGCTTGAAGAAAAACATTAACAGGCTAATGAAAATGATTGTAGGGCCCAAGATCAAATCAATTGCTCAAACGGTAATCACAATTTATTTTAATTTTGTTAAATTTTTACATTAAAGAGTTTATGTTGGAAAATAATTTTTAATATTAAAAGTAAGCGGGGTTTGTTATTTATTTGACTTTAAATATGTCAATTAATCATGTTTTACATCAAATAATTCAATATTACAGGATTGAGTTTAGATAATGTTTTCATCAAATAATTCAATATTACAGGATTGAGTTTACTTAATCTAGTAATTTAACATATAGATAAATTTAAAATTAAACTTTCTTCTTCTTCTTCTTTTTGCAAGCCATTGATATTGTCTTTTGTTTTTAATTTTATTGGCCCGCATGGTGTCTATGATGGTCATCTCTGCCCTAACTTTC